TGTGTGTGTGTGTGTGTGTATAAAACTGATGGTTAAGGATAAAGATACCATGGAAATTATTTATCTGATCAGGAAATTGAGGATTTCTGCTGCTTTTATAAATGTAGACTTAAAAAATATTTTCATATATTATATAATACTCATATGTGTTAATATATTTATATACATATTTATACATGTATATATAATTATATATTTGTTATATATATACACACACATATATATGATTCCCAGTCCTAAAGCATACATGGTTTTGAATATTTAACAGCAGCAACCCTTGATTATTTTGAACTTCAGTTTTGTCATTTGGAGAAATGAAAGATTAATTAGTAGGTTAAGCTGTCAGGCTGTCAGACAGGACATCTGTGACTGTTTGATAAACCCTGAATGCCTGAATGGATCAAGTGCAGAAGTTCAAGGTTAAAAGTGTTATATTACAGAAAGAACACCGTCCCACTCTGAAGGAGTATTTCAAAATACTGATTTACAAAGTATCCTCTTTGTGAAGACTCTGTTTCTGCAGGGGTCAAAATAAACAAAGTGAACGATATGAACATGCTTCTAAATTGTCTTGATTGACTGCTTTCAGAGAGCCCCAATTTGTGTCTGGAGGAATTTGAACAGCTCCTTTGGAATTTATTAGGTTCATTAAAAAATACATGCCTCACTTAGTGAGCACCAGTTGGCCACACATTGGGCTGGGCACTGTATACATAATATCTCTAATAAGATAGGCTTCAAGTGACAACTGGCTTAGAATTCCTTTTTTTCTGTATGAATTATTAAAATGAACATTTCCAAATTTATATTTTAATTGATTTTCAGAAATGCAAACTTTTGAAGTGAATGTATCTTACTCTGTCACATAATCTTTATTAACAACTAGTCTATGAACAAATAAGTTACTCATGTATTCTTTTCAAATTCATGTTTGTACTTTTGTGAATATACAGCTGTCTTATGAATACACCAAAGTAATATTTAATGTTTGCTCTATAGTTCAATTCTAAATTCTAAATATAACCTAGCAGAATAAACATAAAAAAGGGACAGAGAAATTTTGTGAGCTTTAAGGATTATCTTATTTACTGTATTTACCTAAATTATTCAATACCTTAGTGTCTAACATTCTATACTCAATGAATGTTTTTATTTGCTGACTTTCATGGTATATTAGAAATTTGGTATATGGAGAGATATTAACTGCTCTGAAATCAGAATAATTTAATTGTTAAAATTGCATAGGCTATGAAAGAGGTGGTACTAAGGTAGGTAGGGTTTCAAACATAAAAGATATCGAGCTTATATATTTTTTCAGTCTCCACTCACGGAGGCTTCAAAATGCTTTCTTCAAATTAAGAATACCGATATTTCCAGAAGTGTGACATTCCAATGAGTGAAGTGACACTGTTAATAAACGATAACAACAAAACTACTCTTTTTTAACATATAGTAATGCCTACAAATTCATTGTGTATTTTGATGTTTATTATTGTTAAGGTCATTTTATAATAAAGAAAATAATAATAAATGTATATTTGTATCCTAAATGCAGTAGTTTCTGTTAAAAAATGAAGAAATGAAATAGTTGTTTTCTCAAGGAGAATATTTTAATCTGCTTTACAAATGAAATATGTTTCATTTGATGATTTTGATTTTGTACTCTTTGCAAATAACATTCTTGCTGCTGGGTGCCTGGGTGGCTCAGTCGATTAAGCGACTGCCTTCGGCTCGGGTCATGATCCTGGAGTCCCGGGATCGAGTCCCGCATCGGGCTCCCTGCTCGGCACGGAGTCTGCTTCTACCTCTGACCCTCCCCCCTCTCATGCTCTCTGTCTCTCATTCTCTCTGTCTCAAATAAATAAATAAAATCTTTAAAAAAAAAAATATTCTTGCTGCTGAGCATGTACAGACTGGTGCAAGGAAATATTTCAGGACATATCCAAATTTTAAAAGTAGAAATGGTAGTCACAGATAATTTTTAAGAGAGAGCTTCAGTTTTATACCTCAGCATCAGCATTATGGATTTTGTGGCAAGTATCTATTTTAGAATAAAGCAATTCAACATTTCACTTAGACTCATAATAGTTATACCCTGCTATCCAAGAACTGGAAGTGGACTCAGCCTTTATTAGAGACCATCTTCTATGAGGAGTGAGGCATACAGGACTGGGCAGAGGGAAAAGTTGAACGGTGAGGCAGTCACAACAGAGGCCTCAGTCTATCCTAGATCTTACGAGGAGGTCTAGAGCAGAAATACAGGTTCAGAGTCATCCTGCCTTGAGGCATAAAGAAGAAGCCACGACACCCCTGTTATCAATCAGTCATTGCACACTGGAAGACTTTGACTTGGGCTGAGGCAGCACCCTCTGGCCCAAGGCAATGTGTGTGCAGATTCTCAGTGTGAGTTATCAGCTACCAGCTCTTCCCAGCTCTGCCAGGAGCTGGGGAAGGGGGCGGTGGAAGCACACTGCAGCATCTACTACACCTGTATTTGCATAGCCAGTAGCCAAAATGTGTATAGTCACACATGTGCTCTGCTCTCCAACCATCTTTTTGGTTTATCTCTTCAAACAGGTAAGAAGAGATGGGCTCAATAATTTGCCTAGGTTCCCCAAATTTTATGACTCTTCCTTGATATTTTTGCATCCCTTATTAAGGAAAACCCAGTGGCAACATTGAGAGAAGGTCTTTAGCTGCATGTATAAGTTAAATGAAATACATATCTCGGAGGAAGAGAGGTGGAACTTAACTTTATCAAGCAGTCAATCAACTTTGTGCCTCTCATTGTGTTGGATAAAATAAATAAGCTTGAGCTATCTCTTTAACATTTCTGGTCATCCTGAACCAGAGGGGGGTTTATAAATGAAATAATTACAGAATATGTTCCTGCTGAATTGCATTCTTTTAATTACAAGAATGGAACATTTCAACGGAAGCTACATTAACAACCACAGAGTTTTCCAACTTATTTTTTCTTCATAATATTATTTTAGCCCTTACTTGATTTTTGATATTTTAGACTCAAACAAGGTAATGGATATATAAGAACACCTTTTGCAAAGAGTGATGTGTGACACAGATAAAAATAATATAAAATTATTTATTAAAACTCACTATTATTTGTGCTCACGTTAAACTATATCATTGATTTCCACCCAGACATATTTTACTTAGAGTTTTCTAAAGACATACTGACCAAAAATTTGTTTTGTTTCTTTAACTTTTTATCAAAAGAAATTTTTAGTAATACTAAACTCAAGACAAAACTATCACCAAAGTTTTATGGATGCTCTCTCTAAGAAAGTTTAGACACCCACACTAAGAAAGTTTAGACACCCACACTCAATATACTAACAGGTGGACAATAAAATACATTTATGGTGTGCTCTGGTGAATGTAGACTTGTTATTTTTTTGCTTTTATCTATGCTTGCTTTAACATCTGTCCTCTCTCTTCTGACTTGTACTACTTTTTATTTTAATTGGTTTGCTGATTCAAACTTGTTACCGTTGGCCTTGCTGTTGTTAAGGAATATTTTAAAAGGGAAGTGAAAAGAGTGGTAAAAATACTGGTTTTGTTAATTTGGCTCCAGCTGATTTTATACCTGGAAATAGGAGAGTTAATGGGTTTTTTGTATGGTTAATTACATCTTGTGCTGATGGCTTCTGTTGTAGGCATTAAGTCACTCACCTTGTTAACTGATCTACTGGTCTAGTAGGGTTAGATTTGCCATTGGGGAATCATTTTTAGAATGTTTACCTTGTGTTCAGATAACTGATTGAAGGCAGGATGATGGTTGTGTCCAGTTGACCAGAGAAGTGATTGTGAGATTTTTAAAGATTATTCCTATGGGTCTCATTCTACTTTGTTTTGAAAACAAAATGGCAGGCAAGTGAGTGGCACAGACATGAGCCTCTCTTCTCTCTTCTGCCTCTTAGGGTTCTTTTCCATGAGAAAGGAAAAATCCCACTGTGTTTTTTTTCCTAATGCTTCTTGGATTTTCACCAGCAGGTTTTTACAGTCTGTTGCTTGCCTCTCAGATTAGAAGAATGCTGGCATATTTTAACGGTTTCCTAGGATTCAAACAGCCTTTAATTAAGAGCAAATTGATGTTTTGGAATGTTACCAAAATATGGGAGACTGAACACTGAGATGGGCTTCTTTCCTTCCATCTTCTGAGTGCGTGGAGCCCTATAATGGGGAGTGGGGGAGAAGGGTGGGGGTGCTCCGTTGCAAACAGCTGGTTGCCTACCAGTATGCAAAGGGTGTCTTTGTTGGCATAATATTCCCACTGCTTGCTCATTGGTGGCCTTCTAAATTCCACCTACTCACAACTGGGAAGGAGGTAGGTAGTCATAGAGTGCTCAAAGCTGCCAGGGTGCTGAACAGTTCAGGGATTGCTTGGTTTGTAGCTGGGTTCACTTGTTTTAATCCTCCAGTTGCCAGGGCAGTAACATATGGCTGCCTGTATTTGTGGTTAAGTTTCTTTTCCATGCCAAGTTCATGTCTTCTTGCTGCCAGAGTTTTGGATGTGGTGGAAAAGAGCAGTTCTGTAAAGTAATCACTTAGACTTGATGCATATTCTGAGTAGAAGTTTGTTTTCAAAGAGGGATGAGAGTGCAACGGAGGGAGGGGTTTTCCTTTTGAATCAAGGGATTTTAGTGAAAGAGTTGTTGCTGATCCAATCCAGAGCTTTAGGCCAGAAAGGAAGGATAGATGGTAGAGTGTGAAATGTTGGAAATGGTAACTGTTACTTACACAACTGTACAGTTATTATCTGAGGAGGGAAAGGGAGCAGCTTAACTAGCTCCCTCTGCCTAATGGCAGATCCGCTCATTGACCACTTCCTAGCTGAGGCCACTACACTCCCTGTCTTGTTTTTTCCAGTGACCCACAAAGCTGGCCTTTTGGGCTCAAAAGACACCTTGATGGTTTTTTGTTTTTGTTTTTAGCATGCACAGTGTCACTGATTGCTCCCTTTGCTCTCCTCTCTGCAGGTGGTACCTGCCAGAGCCCTGCTCTCCCAGCCCTGGTCCGTCCACCAGCCCCTCCTCTGCAACCTTCGCTGGATATCAAACCCTTTCTTCCCTTTCCTCTGGACACAGCAGCGGCAGTCAACCTCTTCCCCAATTTTAATGCGGTAAGTCCCCAGGTCACATTTGCATGTAGCCGAGTGGTAAGTGCCAGGAGTACTTTGTTGTTGTTGCTATTGTTGCTTTCCTTTTTTGAAAGAAAGGATTATTTTAGTTTTTCAAATTAATGCTCATATAAAATGTTTTGTTAGTTCTCAGAGAGTCTGCTGCAGGGTCCTTTCAATACAGTAGTTGAGGTCAGAGAGTTCCTTTTTTATAGCTGAGCCTTTGGGACTTGTTATGAACAATAAATTCATTTGGCCACAAAGTTGTAACCTTGGTGGAGAATAGAAAACGAAGTTGACCCAATAGAAATAAGAGTAGTCCTGATGTGCCAGGGGTAAGTTGGTCACTACGTCCATTTTGCTGTTATCATTTATTCCATGGATGGTCTGAAAGCTACAAGGTAGCTGGTTGTCTGGTTAAATAAGGTCCCCAGAGCCAGACTCCTTCAAGGGAAAATGAAAAGAGATTTAATCCAACTGGGTTGGTCTTGAGTTCATGTCTCCCGTTTAGTGTCTTTCTGGGTAATACTAATGATTCCATTATTTTGTTGGAATATATCTACACTAAAACTTAATGAATTTATTAAAGAGAACATTAGAATTCAAGTAAGTGTCTAAAAACTTGAACGAGTTTCTTCTGAGTCCTACACTTTAATTTTCAAATCTGTTGCTTCTTTTCTAATTTAATAAAGAGGACCCCGATAAGCACAATAGTGATGCATTCCATTTGCAGAGCACTTTTTTCCCCCTTAACTTAAAGCAACTCAGCATTCTGGTGGTAGGAGGGTTTCTTTTGTTTGTTTTACTTTTTTTGTCTTGTTTTGTTTTCCCTTCTTACCGTGTCACAGTTGCTCAGGTTAGGTCTTTCTTAAATTACTTTGTTTTTTGGGCTTTGTTAATGGCCTTCTCAACACAAGTTCAATTACTTGCTTCTATTTTCACTCTTAGCATATCTTTGTAAGTTGACAGATTCCTCATATTCATCATCATCTCTTTTTGTACAGGCAGTGAAAGTATTCTTATGATGAAAATAGAAATAAGGGTTGAAAAGGTTAGAAACCCATGACTATTTTTTTCCTAATATCATCTGAGTCAGATTTCAGCAGTTTGTCATAATGGAGGTCTGAGCTTATCAATGACACGATGTGTCAACACAACCAGAGCAAAGAGGATTAAGATAGTAGGTCACTGAATGCCCAGTGATCTAAATAATACAGATTTCTTATTGCAACATCTTGCTTCCATGATGGATTTTTTAAAATCTTCCCACAGTTAGATCATTCTCTTTCAGGAGATGGAAGTGGGTCTTATTTTCTTTAATAATACTTCATCCTGGGGACTCTGGTCATTCCAGGGACATGGTCCAATTATATGCTAGTCCTCGCTAAAGGGCAAGGGAGAATCAGAATGATCACTTTGCTCTTTTAGGGGTGAGGGGTTTTCCATGGGAATCTTATTTTGAAATTGATGGAGCATAAATGGAGGAGCATCAAGATCACGTTTCCAAAGTAAAGATTTCTAATCCTAGGCATTTCAATAAGTGTAGAGAAAAAATTGCTCAGCATCAAATTCTCTGATTTTTAAATGACCACACTAAAGTTCCATGGGTTCCCTTTCTCCGCTGTTCAGTTAAGTGGCTTCCTGGCACAGTCTTGCTTCCCAGATGCCCAGAGATGATCCATCAAGGTGCATTACCTGGCCTCTAAGACCACTTGGCATCCTGCCAGTTAGGTCTCATGTCAGCTTTAGAACAGTTGAGGTGAAATTCCTGGAAGGCTGTAAAAAGCTGAGTTTTAAAATTTCGGTTTGCCATTTGAGAAACATTAAAAGCAATATTAATTTGATTGATGAGTATTGTTTGTCATAAAAAACAAAGATGAGTGATTGGCTGAGCTATTTGACACTCAGCAAGTTTCTTTATCCTATTTGCTACTATTAACCCTTCTTTAAAATAAAGGGAGTGGACCTAATAATCTCTTCCTTTGGGGTTTATTTCATTCATATATTTGCGCTTTTGTGGGCAAAGGCAGCATTGTATGATGGTCAAGCTGGATCCTGTAACTAGACTGACTGTTCAAATCTCAAAGTTGCTGCTTATCATCAATATCACCTCGGGCAAGTGACATAACTCCCATGTATCTCAGTATCTTCATCTATAAAATGGGACTAATAATTAACCTATTTCTTAGGCATGTGGTAATGCTTATGTGTGCTGAATAATGTAAAAGGCGAAAGATTTATGCATTTTGAAGAGAAACCAGAGTATGTGTGCTGAATAATGTAAAACAGCACTCAACACATAGCAAGCACTATTTGAGTGATAGCCATTATGTTCATGCATAGGCTGGGAACTCTTCTTTTTTTTTTTTTTTTTTTTTTGAATGTGGCAGTTCATTGACTGAGAGCAGAAGTTTGACTGATTGTTTTTCCTCTATGATGGATTTTGACTTCTGTTTGTATTTGTTCCATTTAAATAAGGAGACCCTCTGTTGCTACACATAATTGTTATTTCCTTTCGGTGCTAGTCAAGCTGCGACAACCAAGGATTAAGCCACTCCTTGTTTCTTACTGAGGGGGGAATAGTGGTAAAGCCCATAATCAGGTGACTTTGGACTCAGAGTTAGAGTATAGAGTGTTTCTTTAAGTAATAGCCTGACTTCTTGATTTTATAGCAGGTGTGAATCTCAATCCACGAATTCAGGGTGTATGAAACATAATTTTTAATTGCTGTAAATTGATTTTATTTCTGATTCAAAAGACCATTTTATGGTGAAGGGAAATGCAATTTAATTCTGTTTCAGGGTGTGCTGAGGTTGTAGAATCTAACAGGCTATCCATCCAACTCTTGGTGGGAAACTCCTCTGTTCACTAAGTTATTTACCTACAAAGGCATTCATAGATGGTCAGCACCTGTTTAGCATGGCTATTTAAGTCCTCAGCTCCCAACTTTAGACACACAAACTTTGCGAGGCTGTTGGTGGTCCCTTCTGCCTAGATGTGCCAAACTGCTCTTATCTCTTTGCCAAGAAAATGATGAACCATCTGCCACTGAACAACCTTCCCGCATCAGACCTTTTTGAAGCAAGTTCATGACAATCACAAACTGACTGCCTGTTATATCTCTCCACTGAGGCTTTGTGTATGGAATCATCTGTCACTTGGGGGGTAGGATGGGGCAGAATGGTGAAAGGAAAAAAAATGAAATACAATCATGGAAACATAAATGGATATCCCTGATTATTATCCTTCCACAAGAGCATAAGCCACTAGGTTTGGATGTAAGTCAAGTAGAATAATGAAACATCTGTAAAAATATGCATAGTTAGAAGGTAAAGGAAAACAGGTGGAGAATCTGAGCTTGGATATGGATATAAAAGAGGACATTTGATAAAACCATTAGGATCCCTCAGTCTACTCAAAGTCAGTTTTTTAAAGATTAGCAACAGAAACTGTTCTCTTGACCTAAGGATGTTGTATCCTGGTTGTTTTGGTAGCTTTCAGACAAGAGAAAGCTTTCCTTGAATTCCTCATGTACCCCCTACCCTGCCCCTCAATCTTTTAAGACATTGGAGTTTCAGTGCTTAGGACCATTCTGATCCCATTCTGCATCAGCATTTCTTGAAAGGAACCAATCCTGGAAGTAGGTAGATGATGTTTAGGGAAGAAATATTAGGAAGTGGTATGAGTGTGGTCCATTCAATCAATTGCTGTTAATTAAACATCACTATGTGGCAGGAATAGTGATAACAAAAATTATATTGTGATGTCTGCCCTGAAATAATTCAATTTATAAGGGAAGCTGAACAAATAAATATTTGTAAATGTGGGTGGCTTTTATGAAGAAAGATGTATAGGATAGAATGGCAGGTTGGGGACAAGAGTGGAAGGCTGTGTGGTTGGCTTAGCTGGGGCTTGGTGAGAAAAATAGAAACTATTCTAGGCATGTAAACAGGAAGGCCTTAATATAAGGATTTAGGTGCTTACAAAGTCTTTGGAGATGCTGGGCAGGCAAACAAAGGTCAGAGAAGGCTATTGTTGGCTCTCAATTTTTGTGCTTACTTGCATGGAATCAGGAAGTTGCAGAAATACAAGATGCTCAGTCATCCCAGTTACTTTCATCCAAATCCCATGCAATGCCTCTCTTTATGGGATCCATGCCTGAATACTGCTGGCAGAGACCCATGGGAATGCAACCCTAGGGCTTCCAGTCCTTGTGATGTAAGGAAGAGCACAGAAGAGGGAAGGCAATGCTGAGTCGCCAATAGATGACATGATGGCAGAATGGAGAGGCTTATGCATAATCAGAAAACCTGAGCATGTTTGCAACCATGAACAAGAGGCTAAATCCTTTGGAGCCTCAGTGTCCTGTTCTGTAAAATGAGAATGAATACATTTCTCTCAGGTTTGTGATTGGAGGGATAGCCGAATTTTAAAATGCTGGAGATTGAAGCTGAGAAGTAGCTTGGGTTACTTAGGATATTGTTTAGAATGGGAGCTGATCATCAAAAAAGGCCTATACTCCTTGACAATTTTCTCCCTGGGTCTCAGAGTTGCCCCTTTGTTTTTCATTTCTCTAACATATTTCCTTCATATCCTCATCAGTAGTTATAACAATAATGAACCTTCAAAATTTTGTTGAAAATGTGCAGCTTTGGGGGAATGTGTTCATGGGGACTGCCTGTATGCCTGACCGTATGCTCCACCCCTTCTATGGCTATGTTTCCTGTTGGCATAAAGGTTAAATGAGTAAACTGAGCTAATCACCTGCATATACCAGATTCTCAGTAAATATTGAGGTCTTCCTCCTTCCGGGAGAAGCATGAAAAAGAACAAGATCACATAGAGGGCCCAAAGGCAGAAAGATAGGCAAATAAAGAGAGTAACTATTAGCCTAGGCTAATACCCCCCCCCATTTTTTAAGTTTATTTATTTTTAGTAATCTCTACACCCAACATGGGGCTCAAAGTCATGACACCAAGATCAAGAGTTACATGCTTTTCTGA